TGCTCCTCCTCATTCTATAGAAGCCATGGAGAACACAGAAGCTACCGAGCCATGGCCGCGGGAAGCCAGATGTTCCCAGGAAACAGTCTTGCCACCTGAGGGGGCAACCTCTGGCCTTCCCACAAACACGTATGCTTCCCCCGTGCCCTCGGTTTCCTTATTTCCCACAAGTTTCCTGGTGTGCGGCGTCCCGGTGAGAAAGAAACCATAAAAACGATTTGTATCCTGAGCAGGCCGGGGAGAGTCCATCAGTGAGTGCTATGGAGACAATAGTCCCTTCTTGGTTGCTAAAAGTTCACGGAGGGCGGTTGTCAAAAGGGATCATCATACGGAAATCTGTGCCAGCCAAAGGAGTATCTGAGAGCCAGCGCGACGTGCCAGCTCGGTGGGTGTGTTGGGTGTGAGACAGCCTTGCCAGACGCCTGTCCTGGGAAGACAAAGTGGCTCCCGGCCACCCGGGGTTCACCCAGTGACGAAACTCCGCGTGCCCCTTCTCCCTGGAAGGGGCATGTGCGTGGTGCGGGCCTCTGTCATAAATCTCGCCCTGAGTACCATGTGGACACAGGGCTTCGGCGGGGGACAGCTGCGCGGCTAATTTTAGGTCTGATTAGGGAAGTGGGGCAGGCTTAATCTCCAGGGCAGGGAGGAAACAGTGACACGCCACTGGGCATCTGTTCCCACGAAGCGTCCCAGAATAGCTCTCCCCTGGCCACCGGCGCTGGGAGGATGGGACTCAGGAGGGCTATTCGCGTCCCCTGACATGGTACTTCATCCCCTTCCCGCCCCCAGGTCCTGGCACCCAAGGGGCGCCCCGGAGAGCTCACTGGGTGCATCTTAATGACCCTCAGGAGATGAGTCCATGGGAGAAGGTGAGCCCCAGCCCAAAGGTCCCATCTCCACATTCCCCTCGGGCTCGGTTGGAAGCAGTCGGCCAAGGAGCCAACGGAATTTGTACGAATAAATGAACGGTATTTTACGCACATCAACGCTTACAACATCCTTACACCGTCTTTCTTTTTTTTAAAAAAATATATTTGTATTGATTTCAGAGAGGAAGGGAGAGGGAGGGAGAGATAGAAACATCAATGATGAGAGAGAATCATGGATCGGCTGCCTCCTGCACGCCCCCCACTGGGGATCGAGCACACAACCCGGGCATGTGCCCTGCCCGGGAATCAAACCGTGACCTCCTGGTTCCTAGGTTGATGCTCAATCACTGAGCCACAATGGCCAAGCTTACACCTTATCTCTCAGTGCCCGCAACCAACCTAGGAGTGAGGACTTGCTAGTCATACTTTGAGGACCACCTAGCGAGAGGGCTACAGTACAAGTCTTCTGGTTTCAACCACCTCGGTTCTTATCTGGGGTGGAAAACAGGAAATTCAAAGGCAGAGGGCAAGGAAGG